TTTTTTTTGCAGGATTTTTTGTAATTCTCAAGATGGAGAGCCACCACTTTTCGTGAATGTGGATTCAAGAGATGGTAGCACAGCTAATACTTGGATCGATGCCCTACAGGTCTAAAAACTTTTGGAGCTGTTTAAGTAATCTGATCACATTACACTAATTTAGGCAAGCTTTGCTGGACTTCTTGTTTTGGCGGGTCATTTGGAAGAAGCAATCTGTCAGCATGCTTTCTATTACGCAGTGTGGAGCAAATATGGCGTTCTACCGGAGAGATATAATTGGTATCTGAAGTGAGAAACCTGCTATTCTTGCCTTTGTTGGTTGTATTTGTCTATTTTCTAAAAATGGTTCTCAGCATCATCGATAACTTTTCTGATTTTCTTTTTAGAATTTCGTTGATTTTATTCTAAGGAAGAGTAGGTATCTTCTTGGTTTCGATTAGCTCAAGATCGAGCTTTTTTCCAAGTGGTCCTTTCGTCACCTTAAATACTCGGATTGTTTCAGACGGCCGGACGTTCATTTCTACCCACTCCGGCCTGAATTTGTGGAGTCAACGTATTTTTTGTACTTGGCTACGAAGAACCCTTTCTACCTACATGTTGGACGAGAGATAATGGGCTCTTTGAACAGTAAAACTAGGGTTGGTGGTTATCTTTTTTTACTTCGATATTTAGAGGGAATTTCTTAGGTAAAATGTGGTTTTGCTACTGTTCATAACGTTGATGACGGAAGTCTGGAAGATCGAATGGAGTCATTTTTTCTCGCTGAGACGATGAAATATCTCTACCTGGTGATTTTCGATCCATCTGTTTTTTTTTTGAATTCTGGCGCTATACCACATCAAAGAACTCAAATCTTTAGATTTTATATTCTACTGAACTTTGTATAGGGGATTTGTAACATGCTGACCTTGGAAATCAAACTCATCTTTTTGCACGCTGCTTCCATGTAGGATCATTGTAGGTGAACGGTATGGACTAATCGGCAGTCGGCCAAAATTACAGATTCGCATGAAATTTTGTCGAGGGATTATTTGACATGCTCATCACGAAAACATACCCATTCCGCACAAGAGGGCCTTGTTGTGGGATGACGGTAACTGGCGATGGTGGGTCAAAGTCAGATTGTCTGAAACTTCACTTAGAGACAGCGTCCGGGCAAAACGAAGGATTTCGGATTACCAGGTACTTATGGCCCACCCTCTAACTAAGCCATTCTTCAAATTCAGAAATTCGTCGCGATAAGCGAGAAGTTTCCTCGGCTTCAGCCCGTGATTTACCCTCTAGCATTGGCCGTGCTTGATTTCTCTTGCGAGCGTTGCTTTCTAGCGATAAGAGCTCGTGATCGTTTCGGCCAAAAGTTGAAAATTTGAGTCACACCACCGCTACTCTCCCCGTCAGTCCAAAAATAGCCCGGAATCTCTGATTTTTTTGACAACTTTACTTTAATTAAACTTTTGTGTTCGGCACAGCGAAATGGCCAAAAGAAGGTGGAATCCTCTCAGCTGGAGTTCCAGGCAATTTTATGTATTTGACCCATCACGGTCTGCCTATCCCATCTAGCCATTGCCGCACGAACGTGCATCTTTTCCTTTGTATCGACATGTAACTAACCTATGACACCAATTTTTGGGTGAATCCGTGATTTGTCGCAACGTCTACTCGCGGTAATTTTACAATCATCCAGGTGAAGTTTTATTAGAAATTCGAAATTTTGGGCCGGTAATGTGGAATAGCACCGTCTTTTAATACCTACTAATAAAAATTCTTGATCAGAGAGATGCATTTAGTTATTTGATGAGGATAATCCAGTAAACATGCAACAAGAGCGGTTGTTATTCACGACTGAAGGACACATTGTGCCAATACTTCACAAGTTCAGGTAATTTTTTCTCACCAGTGTCAGGTTGACCGGAAAGTTTTGGACATTCTTTGAGGCATCTGCTCAAGCTACAAAGCGAAAAGCTAATCATAAGGTAAGTAATAAGCAAAGTGGTACTCGTAAGTAATAAGCCAGTTGGTACTCTAGCTAGGCGTAGTAGACATTCTTCTCAAACACTTTTCTCAATCGATTTGGTCTGATGTCAATATGTACCGGACCGTCAATTGATACAGACAAATGTTGCAAAAAAAAGTTTGG